TCGTTGCCCTTCTTTGGACACGCTCCAGCACCTCACTGTCTTTCTTGTAGTGAGGAGCCAAAGATGAACATGGTATTCGAGGTGTGACCTCACCAGTGCCGAGTACAGGGGGACAATCACTTCCCTAGTCCTGCTGGCCTCACTATTTCTGATACAAGCCAGGATGCTATTGGCCTTCTTGGCCACCTGGGCACACTGCTGGCTCATATTCAGCTGACTATTGACCAATAACCCCAGGCCCTTTTCCACTGGGCAACTTTCCAGCCACTCTTCCCCAAGCCTGTAGTGTTGCATGGGGTGCAGGACCTGACACTTAATCTTGTTGAACCTCATAGACTTGGCCTCGACCCATAGATCCAGTCTTTCCAGATCCCTCTGTAGAGCCTTCCTACCCTCAAGCAGATCAACACTCCTGCCCAGCTTGGTGTCATCTGCAAACTCACTGAGGGTGCACTCAATCCCCTCATCCAGATGACAGATAAAGATATATTTCCGATATACTTCACTTGTTGACATAAATCATATAATCAGAGACTGAAAATATTTGAAGTTTAGAAAGTGTATATGGTGCACGTGCTTCCACATATGCACAGATTACCCATCTATGTTTCCCATATAAAATGTGCACATATTTACAAACAGTTTGTTTAGACACATTTCTATATAAATTTCATTTATATACCTTCTTTTATATATTCTTCAGAATCTCACAAAGCAGTAACACATAAATAGTGTTGAGACACAGTGTGAAACCTAGCAGCGATGAGAACATGCATAAACTTTCTCTAGTTCAGCAGTTTCACAGGAAACAGTTTCACGTTCTTTCTCATATCCCAATTTTTCTGCAAAAGAGCTATCAAACATAGGAGAGACACAGAGACCCTTGATTTGCAATGACAGCTACCTGACTTTCTGTGTCTGCAGAGATCTGGTTACCTGTTCTAGGCTTCAATTTACCTTTCATTGCTTTGAATTACCAAAAAATGAAAAAGTGATAGTAATTAGTTCCCATCCCACATCTCATTTTCCTTGTACAGAATTTTTGTTCGTGATTATACAAGCTATACATTCATGGAGTCAGACAAAAATTTAGGAACCATGGAGCAAAACAGAGGAAGACTGCTGAATCGCAAACAAAACCTCTGGTCTCAAGGTTCCCACAGATAGCTGCCTACATTCCTTGTTTGATTTGAAAAGTTCCTAAAACACTGAAGTTTTGCTCCAGTTAACATTCAAAGCTATCTGGGCTCCTCTTCACATCCCTACTTGGTCATACCCAAGAAGTCAAAAATACCCTGAAGAACCAGTGTAGCAGTCATGTTAAAAGCACATCTAACATGTTCCTACAAGACTGTGCTTGTGACTGCTGTATTTTTAAAACAAGTGAGAGGCATTTGAAAATATATTGGTGGCGTTGGGCCAATCAACGGGAAATCTCAGTTCAGTACCCTCTACAAAGCGAAGCACGTTCAAACCCACATCTACGACTTGTGGGGAGAAAGGTTATGCTCAGATACAGATGAGGCCAGGTTTGAGTTAAACCACTCCTGCCAAGTCAGTATCACTTTGCAGCCAGAAATGCAAGATCCAAGGCATCAGATGGCATGTAAATGAGATCCTGAGTCTGGAGCGGAGAAGTGAGAGCGCACGGAGGAGGTGGTGGCTAACAGTCTCTATTCCTAGCACTACTTCAGGGAAGGGGGTGTGGGATTTTTTAATTTTCTTTTTAAAGACTGTTTAATGCAAAACTGCATGGATGAGAGCAAGTATCACACCATAAAAACAAGAGCAGCTAGTCATTCTGTGTTCTGCCAAATCAAATGCACGCTTCCCCACTGAGGAGAAGATTCTTGGAGCTGGATTTTGGTTTGAGAGAGGTGCCTGGCAGTGGCTGCTGTTAGGACTTGGAAGCAGAGTGACAGTTCAGATCATGCCTTTGCATGACAGTTTGCTGTTGATAAGATCTGGATTGACCTTGAGAGTGGCTGAAGGGACTGCAGGATCCACATTTCTTCAGGGAGGGGCCCGGAATTAAAGGAGGAACATGTAATTGACAGTCCGTTGGAATCAACATTAGCAGCTAAATAAATAAATAAATAAATAAATGGAAAGCCCAAATCAAAAGCTCAAGTTGGACAACTATATGATAGCACAGAAACTTTAGAAATGGATTACAACTGATTTTTGTCAGCATATTGGTAAGTCACAGCCTGTAGCTAAAGTTCATGTCAGTGTGCAACGCTGTAACAAAATCCTTTTTTAACCAAATCAAGAGAAAAAATTATATAATGCAGTTCCATTGGGAATTTTTCCATGACAGTTGACAGCCATTAGGCTTGTTTGATGCTAATGAGGGCAGACAGCTATATAAGCTATTTCCCTCACCCGCAACTATTTAACTTCTAAATTTGTCCTCAAAATCCATTTTCAGCTTCAGCTGCTTTTTCTGGGTTCTCTTTACTTCTCTGACTAATCTAAATGCCATTTTAATGTTTTGCATAGGCATGGTAAATTCCCTAAAAGGACATAAGGACATGAGAGACAGTGGAATCAGCATTTTATGCCACAGGATGCTGTGCTGTTTTGGCTGTTGAAATAAAGTCCAGAGAATTCTTTTAATGTTTTTGTCTCACTAAAGGCAGTCTTTTTTTTTTTTTTTAAATACACACAGACTTATTAACATAACAAGGTGACACTGAAGCACTATGCTTACATAGAATTATTATAAATAAGGCAGACTGGGCCTAATCCTGTCTCCAGTAAGAGAAACTTCCATGGCTACAATGATAAGCTCTGTAAATTTTTTTTTCTGTCTAGACTAACGGATATGTTCTACAAAGAACAGCTGAGCTCTCTGAGAACAGCTTTAATAACTGTGACTGAAAGAATTTTGTAACCCAATTATCTTCTCTCCAATGACTAAACTGATATCTATACTAAATTAGAGTCCAGATAAAGCAGAGATTTAGAGACCCTTTTCAAAACAACCAATAGCTGAGTGATCGGTATCACTGGGGTGGGAACAGCAGAGATTTAAAATGCAACTGAACAAGGCAGAGTTGAGATCTGAAGTTTAATTGTCTTTTCCTTTCTACCCAACACCTCCTCTATCCTACCATCTTCCTACAATTGGTTTTCCTCTGATACAAATAACTAGTTTCTGAAATACAGATTATCTGGAGATACAAATCCTGCATATTATCTTGCCTTCCTCATCTCTGATAATTTTTTACTCTGATGAAAACATAACAGCAGTAACTATAGCATGGTCAAATTTTTTACTTTACTGAACATACCTGGCTGCTACCAATGGCTTCAATTTATAAAAATAAATAGTCATAATTTTTTCTTGCATTTTCCTCAGTGAATCAGCAGTACAAAAAATACAACTCTGGTATTTTTCACTGTGTGGGCCCCATCTACTATGCTCTGAGTTCTCATTCCTTTCTTTCCAGAATATAGCTCATCCCTATGACTTAGAACAACTTAACCAGGTCAGTAGAGTGGAAAAAAAGAAACATTTGCTGTAGGCAAAGAGGCTGCTTTCTGTGCGAGACTTTGTTTATGACTTAGAGTTAGGGACATTATGATACAAGTGCTACAACAGTTTGTTCATTATGGTCTGCTATGCTGTATTATTGTGTTCTCTAAACTTCCTTGCAGTACAACGAATTACATCTGATGGGACATAAATGAAAAACTTTCCTAGTTAGAATAATTTTGCATTGTAGTAATCTATTCAAAGGTCAGTGGATGTGCCTTCCTTGAGCTTTATCCTACAGTTCTTAAGGGCAGCAGGTCTAATAATAACGAAACATGAATATAATATCCAAAAGAGAAATGTATCTTGAAAATAACAAAAGAATAAAACAGTTTTCAGTTGAATTTTCCAGCTGATTCTTAAGGAACTTTTCAATAGCAATCTTCTTTAACAACAAGTTTTCACCAGACACCAAAGATGTGCTGGACTAGACCTTCAGCTAACAGAAACAGTTTTCTCCTGAAACACAGTGTGTCTAGGCTGGGGTGGCAGGGCTGGGGTAGGAAGAAGGATTAACTTATTATTTGTAATTCACAGCACATTTTTTCAGAGCCAGCTAGCTCTCTCTTAAGATAGTAACCACATTAAATGCATTAAAGCACACTAGTTACACAGAGATTAGGTTTTCTTTCTTTCTTAGCCTTACTTTTCATTATCTAATTAAAAAGAAAAAGGAAGGAAACCCATATAAGTCAGTGTCAGAAAATGAAATGATACCATAATGTATCTCTAGGAGTACTGTAGCCAAAGTAACCAAAATTATTCTCATAGGTGAATGATATGAACCACTTAAGTATTTTTAATTGAAGAGCAAGCACTGTCTAGAAGTTTGCATACACAGACCCCTTCCTGATCTCATCACAGAACAGGAATTCTATCCAGATGCCCCACATGCTTTACCTAAAAAGACACATTTTCCCTGAAGAGCTAAGTATGCTTTCTATAGGAGAAGCACTTGTGAAAGTTGTAGAAATGTCACAAAATACACACTTCCTCAATAATGAATATTCCTTGAAGAATCTGTATTGGTTTAATCCAAATCAAGATATGCTTTCTACTAGAATGTAACCTTTTTCTCTCAAGACAACCATCCAAAAAGTACATGTCTATCTGCAAGGAATGAAACTGCCGGCACTGGAATAGCAACCAGTGTTTCAAAGCAAGCTCTTCTTTCATGCAAGCAATTTCTGAGCAAATGGTTTGCCACTAGTTGGCAAAGCAATTTTTGCTTGCAGCAAAGCATTGACATGGTTCTTACCATGTCATCTACATGCACATGAATTTTGCTCTGTGTTATGGCATTTTGCAGCAAATACTCTCTCAGCAAACTGAAAGTTTGCTTTCAGTAACCATGGTGCATACCTAAAACATAATTTGACTCATCCAGCCTTTGGTTTAAGAAGCCAAGTATAACCACCACTACAATTAAAGTTTCAGAGGTAGTTACTAAAGGACTTACTGTGATGATTAGCCCTTTCTCCTGGAAATATTTGACCAATGGGACGGCATTCTGCTTGAAATTCATTAGTCTTCTTTGAGTGGCTTTCAGGTTATCATCAGGTCTCCCTTGCTGTTCAGCACGCTTCAGTAACCTTTCTTTCAGCCTTTGACTGGAACATGCCAGAAACACCACCAAATCTGGGGTACAAATCTGTGGAAAGAGCAGTTCAAGAAGTCTGTGATTAAGTTGACTGTCCAGCACTACAGGATGCAGCAATTGCTCTATTAGGTGAGGCTCAGATATGCTATATTTGCATACATCGGAACTTGATGAAGTAATTCGTTTTCTCTTGTTTGGTTTGTTTTTTTTTTTTAAGGGAAATTTATAGGTTTAATAGGGGCTTGTTTGTCCTATGTGAAGGTTAATCAACTTGTTTCACCTGAAATGTCAATGAAAAATGTTAACGAAAAATTTTTACATCACCTCAGAAACCTTCTCTAGACCATGTTCATCATTTGCATTACCAGAAGTTCCCCTAGCTAAAATTAAAATCTTTAAAAACAGCAAATAGAAATGTTTCATATTCTGCAGGAAAATGGTTGTGTGGTTTCTATCTAAAAAGCCTTTAAGAAAGTATTTAAAATCCAGCAGCCACTATGAACTGATGCCTAGGACCAGGTGAAAACAGACCTGTTCCAAGATCCACAGTTTCTTATAACACTTTCTCTGTTTCTCTAAATCTCACCTAAGCTTCAGTGCACTTTTCAAGAAGTTGAGTGTGGCAGCTGAGAGGATTTTAATTTCTCCCATTCTTTTTGGTCTGTGTCATGAGCACTGTTTTATGTCACATCCATCCCTGCCCTAAAGTTCAGGAAGTACAGCCTTATGGCAATGAGAAATTTTTTTTTTGGAAGTTTAGGTCTTTCCCAGTTAAATTCAAGTTGCCCTTATGGCTTTCAGCATTCTTTGTAACTTTTGGTTACTCATGCTATCAAACAGTTATAGAAGAGATCTCTCTGGTGCTTGAGGCAAGGAAAGCAGTAATAGCCCCACTTAGGAAGGCTGCTAAATGTTCACAGGCAATCTTTGGAGGTCACCACTATTTAGTACACGTGGTGGAAAAAACAGAAGTCATACAATCATAGAATCATTTAGGTTGGAAGAGACCTTGAAGATAATCAAGTCCAACTGCAAACCTAACACTGCTGTGTCCACCACTAAACCACGTCCCTGTGAACAGCATCTACACATCCTTGAAATACCTCCAGGGATGGTGACTCAACCACTTCCCTGAGCAGCCTGTTCCAATGCTTGACAACACTTTCCGTGAAGAAATTTTTCCTAATATCTGATCCAAACCTCCCCTGGTGCAACTTGAAGTAGTTTCCTCTCATCCTAAAGTTGCTGGGACACCTGAATTCACAGGATTTTAAAAATGGGGCTACAAGTGTATTATGTACCATATTCATAAGATCTGATTGTGATTACTGACAGAGTAGGATACGGAGGTGAGCAAGTAGAAAGTGGCTAAAAAGCAGAGCCATTTTCAAACAATAAAGGACAGTCTGCTACACAGCACTAGCAAGCAGGATGGTGGCCTCTTTATCATTACAGAAAATTAAATAGGGTTTTAAAAAAATAAAATTATTTTTTATGCACATTATAGATGACTGGAGACATGAGGATGCAAACTACAAACCAGACCCTAAAAATACAAATTCTGGTAATTTTTAATGAGTATCTATTAGATTTTGAAACAATTAACCTTGTAATCTGTTTGTTGGGTTTTTTTTAAAATAACTGCCAGTGGGAAAGAAGTGCTCTCCTACCTCTAACACATGTACCTCAATGTCAACAAAAACAAAGTAACTTTCCTTCCTTTTTCAGACTATTTTAAATACATAATTGTCAGTTATTCTGTCCTTTCCTGGGATGAATTAATTATGCGAATTAATTTTACTACCACATAATAGCTTTAAGGCACACAATTATTTATACGAAAGACTATGAAAGTGAGTTTCTGTGTTAGCCTTCCATGCAATATGGATGTTATTAAAAGTAGCTCTGTTAAATTAAGGTTGCTTCATCAGTAGTAGAAGCATAATGAGGAATCAGAAATTGGGAATTTAAAAAGCATGCAGTAGTAAAGAAATCCAAATTATAACACAGATTCTGAAAAAAAAAATGCTACAGATTTCAAAGCCTTCTAGGTCATGGAACACTATCTCATAAAAGGGAATGGCTGATGCACATTGCAGTGGACTGAGCACAGAGACATCTCAAGTCCCACTGTGGATATCTGGCTGATGGGTTCTTCGTAACATATATTACACAAGGACTCAGAAATTATAACTGCAAAACAGGGATCTAGGAAAGTGAAGGACAAAAGGAGTTTATACAAGTGAGTAATTTTATTTAGTATTTCCATTTCCATGGAACTTAATTTTAATGAAGAAAGATGGTAAGAAACCTTTAGATGCTCCAAGCTGTAGCTGGACTTCTCACTTTCAATGCTCGCTCCCAAACATCTTCAGGACTAGCATCTACCACATACTCAGGTCTGTGAAGTCATACCAAACCTCCTCAAGTGTGGGACCTAAGCTTTTGTATATCACATAACTTCACATATAGCATCAAACCTTACAGAGAGTGCTTACAACAAATAGATCTCTCATGAAATTATTAGCCCTAAAGGAAAAAGAGGAAGGAGATAAAAGGAAAGTCTCCTGTTTCACACAAATATGACAGTTCAGCTTTCCACAGTCAATCTCAGTTCTTTAAAGAAACTGTGGCTGAGTAAGTGCAGCCCCACAACAAGGAAAGGATCTGAAAGCCACCGGGATGCCATCAGGTGTGCAGGTTCTCATCTGCTTAGTTCCCACAAACTGCACTGGCTTCAGAGGTCAGTTCCTTTTTAAGAAAACAGGAAAGCATGCCCTGGGCCTAATTTTTTTTTCCTTAGTTGTAAAATTAATATAATAACGAGATACAACGCAGTGATTACTGTGGAAAACTAATTCATTAGGTTTTAATTACTTTCTATTACTTTTTAAAAGGGAAAGTTCTCCACCAGAGCTGGGTAGTAGTGGTGGTGTTAATTTTTTGACTAGTAACAGCAATAATACAAAAGACAGTATCAGAATCCCAGGAACTAAAACTATTTTTCCTGACACTCTGCATTTGTAATTTGAAATACATTTCACTCACAAGAATAAAATGTTAATAAAAAAATAGTTCAAAATTCTCAGTTCAATAAGCCTTGTTTCAAATGAAGTATTGTCTAAAAGGTTTTTTGAAGTGAAAAAGAAAGTAATTCAAGCACATTTGAGGTAGGAATATAAAGCAGATTCTGATTATGTGATGCCTCTACGAGTTCATCTTTTACCTGCAGAATATGCATCTTTATCGTCAGGAAGTAGCTGAAAACCATTTAATAAACACAAGCCTTTGCTGGGTTTTAGATGCACAAAAGGGTAACATCTCTTCTATATCCATAGGTATACAGACCTAAAAGCACTTAACATATTTCTCCTACATGTATTTACAACCCAGGGTAAACCCTTGAAATGCTATTGATATTTCGCTCCTGTTGTCATGAACCACTCTGCTTCCACTTACCTCAACTGCACCTGCCTGCAAGATGTGCTTATAAATAAAGTTGGAATGTAACAGGCTGGTGTGAACATATGGACATCTGGGATTACTTCTCTGGAAACAGATCTAGTTCTCCTGTGTAAATATCAGTACAAATTGCTTTTTCTCTAACAAATTAAAAGGGTTTTTTTATGACTCATTTGAAAACAAACCTATTTCTTTAGCTCAGAACCAACTGTTGTTGAGTTTCATGACTAGGGAGTAGGAGGCTTTATGAAAGGTGTACAGAACCAGCACAGACAGAACTGGATTCCTTCATGTGGATTTCCCATAACATGCTCATCTTGTGCTGAAGGCCGAAGGTCTTATTCATGTTCAGAAATGCATGTGAGAAAGGACTGAGGGGGCTTAGGGAAGTGAATTTGACTACTTACTTACTGGAACTCAGCAGAAGGGAGAATCTTTGCCTATGGGAATAGACAAGTTTCTGGTTATTCACAGCTTTCTGAATTTTAAATGAGACAAAGAGTGGATGGCATCAACTCAGAACAAAACTAGTGGGTACATCCTCTCATTTTTTACAATTGTAATTACTAGTAAGTATATCGTACTGTCCTTGGGTCTGAATTTCCTTCCTAAACTGGAACAAGGAGCAAATTGAGAGTTACTTCCATGCAAGTAACTGGTGTTATTGACGTAAAGCAGTATAAGCAGAAAGATGCTCTTTTCTCTCTGGGGATTTTTTCTACATCTCCTCTTGTTAGTGAGAGTGGTGTGGTTGTTTGCTAGAAATTAGATGATTACACTCTCTCTCATTATTCCTCATTAGGCAAAAGATGAAAATGATCTGTTTCTTAATTCCTGGTATGTTCTACTAGATATTCCCGACAAAACTTAACTGACAGCTCATGAACAATTGTCATTAATTTAACAATGCATTTGATTCTAATTGGTAAAGGTTACTAGCAAGCTAGTTTACGTCCATTGAATGGGTGCTCTCCCTTGTAATTACTGATTTGCTTTTTATAGTTCCATCTCCGTTGGGTTACTAGACTTTGCATAGTTTTTTCTTGTTTTAGAAAAGCAAAATCATGAATCATGTTGTCAAAGAAAGAATCCTGCTGACAGAATTTTTTCTGGTAACTGTTTTTGAACCATATTCACACTGTCCAAGAAATCAGCTTCCAGCAAATTGCCCAGACTACATAATTAGGTTCCCTAATAATTGATTGAGAGAGGCAGGTGTCTTTAGGGAGAACTGATTCAGACATTCACCTGCATAGGGCAGCTAGTGGATAGGAATCCCTAGCTGTAAACACTAATGCTAATGCTACAAAGAAAGGTCTAAGGAGACCACTGGTTCAGAACTGCTCAGCAGGCACTTCCATCCACTCTGAATTTGGAACATCAAGTCCTCTCCTGAGAGTTAAGGACCAGCCATGGATGAGTCGTCCTTTGGCTAGTTTGGCTAGCAGAGAAGAGCCCTTTTCCAGAAAAATAGGAAACCTGAGGTCTAGGATCTCTTACCAGCAGAAAATTGAACCAGTGCTTGCCTTTCCCAGCAGAGTGCTTTAGCTTCCAGGGGGAAAGACAGGCAATGATAAGGCCATTCCACA